AATAAGCAGTTGATGAACTATTACCGATTAAAATAACTCCAAACAACGTGCTGTTCAACAGAGGCCAACACTGAACTGAGACCAAGCAACAAGTAAAGAAAATCGACGCGCTGCATTCCGCTCCAACAATAGAAAATAAATAAACGAATAAAAAATGCCGCTGCTATTCCGAACATCCATTGGCCAATTCTATCGCGTACGTACGTCACTTTCCTGTACCTAAACGTACGATTTGCCAACATTCTGTCTGTTGGGGAGATAACATCTTCATTATCTGAGCGGCGACAAGAGGAGTGGAGCAAGAGGAGGAACGGGAAACAAGAAATGGCGACTTAAAACTGTCCGTTTCCTCGCCGTGTTCGCCATCATCGCGTGGACATGACCTCGGACACAGTATGCGCAGTAGAGGCTTCGGTTCCGAGGTTCATTGCCTTTCTGTGCGATTCTTCGTTTATTTGGCACGGTGATACTTCTAAAACCTGACTTTTTATTTGCATACACACATTATTCGTATTTGGCGATACATACATACATACATACATACATACATATATATATATATATATATATATATATATATATATTATATATATATATATATATATATATATATATATATAAATATTTATATATATATATATATATATATATTATATATATATATGCACACACACATAACACACACACTAATATATATATATATAATGCACGTATAAAGGTCTACTACTGTTTTCTTCTGGTAAACTTTTGGTTTGTATGCGTTCATGATTAACTTGTAAATAACATGGTTTTAAAAGGAGTTTTCAATAAAATCCTTTCGTTTTCTCTCTCTCTCTCTCTCTCTCTCTCTCTCTCTCTCTCTCTCTCTTCTCTCTCTCTCTCTCTCTCTTCCTCTCTCCCTCTCTCTCTCTCTCTCTCTCTCTCTCTCCCTCTCTCTCTCTCTCTCTCCTCCTCTCTCTCTCTCTCCCTCTCTCTATCTCTCTCCCTCCCTCTCTCTCTCTCTCCCTCTCTCTCTCTCCTCCTCTCTCTCTATCTCCCTCTTCTCTCTCCCTCTCGTACTTACCCTTAGCCTCTTCCTTCTTGGAATCGAAGAAGCCGGTGGTGAGAGCCTTCCTCTTAAGCAGGTACGGTCGCCTCTTCTTCTGGGCGCTGGCATTCGATTGCTCTGAAGGGTCAAACGAGAAAAAAAGGTCACAATATGCTCTTTTTTGGAGGGGCAAACTAGGTCACTTTGCATAGACGTGATAAATAGTGATGCCATAATTGATTTTTTTTTGTATGATGTGTTCCGTAGAGAGAACAGAATGGTGTTGAAGATTTAAATAGAATGGTGTTGAAGAATTACTCGTTGGTGTTCGGGTGGAAAAGTAAGGGTGGTGGCAGCATAGAATTCGAAGAGGTTTAACAACTACTGCTATAAATATAAAAAAGTGTAGAGTTGGCTATCTATTCGAAAGAATGAAAAAAAAAAAAAACAGTAAAGATAAGAGACGAAGAATGAAAGGATAAACAAGGAAATGTGTTAAAGAATACAGGAATCAAAATAAGAAGTTAGATACAAGAAAAAAAAATCGTGTTAAAACTCAGTTAAATTAAGAAGCATGTCTGTGTGTGACAAACAAAATCAAAGCATTTGGTTAGTAATGTGATTGCAATCTATTGAAAAAAATATCAAGTGATTTAATAAAAGGGAGTCTTTATGGGCATCTGAGAAAAGCAAATGGAAGTTATTATAGTCACTGTTCAAACATTCAGTTCGGATCACAGAGAAACCAAATGAAATATGGCGTCATAACCCGCAGATTAAAATTTTGTGTCTGAATGAAGGAATGGAAGAAAAATAACCATGAGTCACCGCAGACCAACCTCAACCTTTGTCTTAGATAAACGCGACACGGAATTCCTTTTGAGTTCAGACGAGCGGCGGCCAAAAAAAAAAGAAAAAAAAAAAAAAAATAAAAAAAAATTTTAATAAAGTAACTGTAAAATTGTTCCAAAATTGCATTTCATTTCTTTTCCTCCAAATCATACATATCTACTTTTCTTTCAATTTTACATATTCTCATTTTGTATTTTCTTATTAAAAAAATGTCACCTATTTACTTTTTCTGCGCTTTTCTTTGCCATCATTAAGGTAAGATAATCCTGGCAAAAATAAAAGTGAATTTTCCGTTTTAAAAAAGGCTAAATTACGAACGACCGAGTATGAATTTGCGACCGAGAGACCCAGCCAGCGCTCCTGCAGGTCTTCGTCGAGGCTCTGATGTCATGGACTGATGGGTACTTGATAAAACTGACAGCCTGTCAAAATCGGACACTTACATTCAGTGACATTTGACAGCAAACAATGCGAGTACATATATACTATATATATATATATATATATATATATATATATATAGTATATAATCTGTGTGTGTGTGTGTGTGTGTGTGTGTGTGTGTGTGTGTGTGTGTGTGTGTGTGTGTGTGTGTGTGTGTGTGTGTGTGTGTGTGTGTGT